ATATGTATAAAATTTTCTCTCACCTGTTCAAAATATAAATATTATTAAAATTAAACTCTTTTACAAAATCATTATTATCTTTTGTAAAAAAAATCTCTCTCAAAGAAAAATAAATTAAATTCTTTTTTTTTTATTTTTTTTTTTTATATTTATCTTTTTTCGAAATAAACATATCTCAAAAAAAAAAATTCTAATAATTTTTTTTTTTTTTTAGTTAGCACAACTAACTACATATTCTCCACATAGCTAGTCCCTTTTATAGCCAAAAAGGTTAATGAATCCTTTTATTAACCATCTACTCATTGACTCTACTAAATTATTGAACAAATAAATTAATAAAGAACATGTAGAGTTCTCCTTACTAAGTTAATTAATTAAAATTTTGTATTAATATTATAAACCAGTAAACTATATTTATATAATCTATTTCATTTAAAATTTATTGTTTTTAATGGATATTTATTTACTTTAATAAGAATCTCATATTTTTATTAAAAATTTAAATTCTTATCGTTATTATTTTCAATTATATGTATTTTATTTAAAATGTTATGAGTAATATTTAGCAATTCAAATACATTACTTTCAAACTAGTATAAATAGTTAACAAAATATATAATAAATTATGTAAATACTACAAATATTGAAAAATGTATTATTATTAATATAAAAAGTTATATATATTTAAGAAAAAATATTCTACAAGAGGCTTTTTGTCAACAATTCTTTACTTTTTGAACATTTTGATTTATCTTTTAAAAAAATTAATATATTTTTTTGTTTATCTAAAACTTACAACAAGAAAACAAAAAAAATTAACAACTCTTTTTTTTTGTTTAGAAACTTGCATGGTGATTTGTTAATTGCTTGTTTATTGGCTTTGCTATTATTGAAGAAGGAAATTAATAAAGAGCATACAGATATAACTCTATTTAATTTAATTCTTATTTAATTAAATTTTTAAATTTTAGATTCGTTTAACTTAAATAAAATATAATATCTATTATAATTTTCACATACATTTCATTCCCTAGAAAAAAAAAAAAAAAAAATTTTTAAGATTATCATTTTTTCTAAAAAAAAATATACGATAAATTTTTTTTTTTGAATTATGGATACACATGCAAGGAAAAAAAAAAATTATAATTTATTAAAAATTTATTTTTAGTGTACACGCTTTTGAGTATCTATTTTAGAGTACACACTTATGAATTCATATGGCTTCAAAAATTTAGCATGCACAGAATAAAATATTTTTCCCTTAATTATTAATCTAATTATTATAGATAAAAATTTATAATATTATTTATAAACCACATAGCTAATTATTTATTTTCCATGCATATGTTACTTTTTATTCTCAAAGAGGTTATTATTACCTTATATTTATCAGGTAATAAAAAAATAAATAAAGAACAATTAAAATGGTTTTTTCTATTTTTGTTTAAAGGGAAAAATAATTTTTTATAAATAAGTAAATGTTATATACCTTTTTTATTAACTGGATGTTAGGTGACTTTGCTAGAGTACTGCTTAATAAAAGGCTTCATTAAACTTTTTGGTAATAAAAAGGACTAGCTATATGAAGAATACATAATTGTGCATATGCGAAAAAAAAAAAAAAAAAGGAGAGATACGTAAGAAAAAAAAAATATTTTTTTTTTTTGAAATGATTGAATTAAGGAGAAGAAAAAGATTGGTAAATTAAAAATCGAGAGTGAGATTTACTACCAATAAAAATGAGATCTTAAACAGATAATAATATTTATGTAAAAGAGTTTAATTTGCATAATATTTATATTTTTAATTTGTGAGAGAAAATTTTATACATATGACAATAAAATTTTCACATAATTAATATTCATATAATTAATTTGCATTTCTACTAATTGTTTATGTTTGTTAATTCAACAGCAATATATTTAAATTACTAAACATAACTCATAACAAATAATTAAATAAATTACAATTGAATAATAATCAATATTCAATAAGGATTTTTATTAAAGTAAATAAATGCCTATTGAAATCAAAGAATGCTGAACGAAGTAGAGCACCTGTTAATAAAAGGCTCCATTAACCTTTTTGGATATAAAAGGACTAGCTATGAAGAGAATACGTAGTTAGTTGTGCTAACTAAAAAAAAAAAAAAAAAAAAAATTATTGGAATTTTTTTTTGAGAAATGTTTCTTTTGAAAAAGATAAAGATAAAAAAAAAATAAAAATTTTTTTTTTTTTTTTTGGGGAAGAGAGAGATTTTTTTTTTAACAAAAAGATAATAATGTTTTGTGAAGGAGTTTAATTTACATAATATTTATATTTTGAATTTATGAGTGAAAATTTTATACATATGACCATACAATTTTCACGAATTAATATTCATAAAATTAATTTGCATTTTTACTAATTATTTATGTTTGTTAATTTAATAGCAATATATTTAAATTGCTGAACATAACTCATAAAACAGAAATAATTAATTTACATTTAATTAAAAGTTAATATTCAATAAGGATTTAAATTTTTAATAAGAATAAAGATTTTTATTAAAGTAAATAAATGCCTAGTGAAATAAAAGAATGCTGAACGAAGTAGAGCACATAATTAAGAATTAATCGTTCGAAGAATATAAAAATATATATAAATACAACAAAGTTGTAGAGGCATCTCTACATGCTCTTTATTAATTTGTTTGTT